AGAAGAGCCTGTGGAAATGCAGACAAAGAGAGTTTGGACTAAGCTCCACAGATGAACAGGTGTTTACAAGAAGGTCAAGGTAGGAGTGGGGTTGGAGAGGTTTTGTAGGGGAAATCCCTTACAAGTCTATGAGCCTGGGGTTTGGGCACTGGGCATGTTCAGGGGAGCCAGATGACCACCTGTAACTGGTGTGTAAAGGGAGTCAGAGCAAACTGGAAGAGCTCACTTTAGGTCTTTTTTCACTTGGACAGTCTGACCAAAGTCAGACACTGTGCCAGAAAAGGGCAGTGGGTCCTCTGGACCCCACTATCCAGGCCTCTCCTCCACCAACACCATTTCCACTGTATTGCATGACGAGACCCAGCCAGCCACTGACACCAACTGGGACCAGCCTGTGACCACCCCCATCCTACTTTCCTGGCCCAAGCCCTATTGACAGATCCCCCAGAATCCGAAGGAATTCAAGACAAATGGTTAAGAGGATGGAGTTAATAAAATTTGAAAAATTGAGGCCTGTCACTCCACTAAACTTTTTTCAATACCACTGACAGAAACATATTTCCCCAATGAGTGACCTTCCACAGCTGTAGCAGGCCGGCGCAGCCGCAGCAGTGCTGCCAGGAAGCCAGCCTGCTATTTATCAAATATTATAAGCTGGGACACACTAATCTGGAGCAGGGAGAAGAGGGAGGGGTCCTGCACTATACTGCCTGGGGTGCTCCAGGTGTTGGCCCTAGCCCCAGACAGCCAGTGGGAAGTGACGGATAGCCTGCGATTAGCACTCCCCACCTCCATCCAGCCCTCTCACTTACTCCCAGAGGCCTGACCCTCTCGACCAGCTGCTCGGCCTGGAGGGGCCCTGGGTGGGAGGCAAGGGGAGGTCAGGCCAGGGCACGGGCCATCCTGATACCCCCAGAGAGGGCAGGCGGGTGAGACCCACCGTGGTTATTTATTGGAGTGTAATGGTTTGTGGCCGTTGGTCTTGAGGTGAAATCGATCAGTTGTAGAAGTCAGGTTCTATCAATTATTACAGCAATTAGTCAAGTCAGAGCATCAGACCAAGGGTGCGGGGGAAGAGGGACTAATATTAGGTGGATATTATACATGGTGCCCCCACCCCAGCCATCCTACAGTGAGATCAGGCATGCTGCCCTGAGGCTCCAGCTTCCTTCCTCAGGAGTGGCCACTGGGGTGGGCCTGACTGAGACATCCCTGTGCTGGCTGGCCCGGGGTAGAGAGTTGTCCGTATCCCCATCCCATCCTTTATAAGAAGTGACATGACTCCTACTAGAAATTACTCAGTGACCCATGTTTATGGGGCACATTTTTCATTCTGTAAGCAAATATAGATCACTGACAGCACTTGTTTGAAGCGGCTAATCTCACCCTCTGTTCTTTTTCCCACTTTCTCCCACTTCTCTCTCTCTCTCTCCCCCTCCCCTTCTATCTCCCATTTCTTTCTTCATTATCCATTTCTCTCCTCTCCTCTTTGATTTTTTTTCTTTCCCTTATAGAGATCTGATACCCTTTCCACTCCAGCCCATATCTAGTGACAGAGCTCCCCTTGAGGCTGCCTAAGAAAGAAGAGGCAGTTCCACTGCTCTACTCTCACTTCCTCTCAACCCTCACTGAGGCCCAAGAGCTTTAGGAAAAGGGAGAGGCTTCCTGGCAATGCCCTTCAGCCTTTGTAGAGCACCAGAGAGAACAGGGGTGGGGTGGGAAGCTATATCAGGTGAACAAGTCCCTCAGAACTTGGTACCTCTGTCTGTCCTCCTTCAACACACTGACTATGTTTGGCCTGAGTTAATGTGTGCTCATCTCCTCCCCATTAGGTTCTAGAGTGTGGAATTGTGCCCTGACTCAAATTCTAGGTAACCCTTCAGCTTAAAGACATGGAGAGGATGTTGCAGAAAGGACAAAAGAAACGGTCACAGGAGTGAGAAGAAAATCCGAAACATGGTTTTGTAGAATTCAGAGAGTGGCCAGGGGATCAGTGACTGTGGAGTAGCTAAGAAACATAAAAAAGAAAGCTAGGGCCCTCCCTGGTGGTGCGGCGGGCTAAAGCACAGCACTAAGGAGCTAAAGCATGTTCAGCGTGAGTTCCATCCCCGCCCCAGAGGTGATCCATATGGCATGGCAGAACTCTCCTAACCGCCCACTGCTCCCCTTAGCAGTATTTCATCAGTTGGCCTGTTCTGCTCCCCACTCCGTGGTGAATCTTCTTACTGCCCATGCTCCTCTGTCCTACACCCAGTTCTGTATGCATAAATAAATAATTCTTAAAAAAAAAAAAACAATTATTCATTGGCTGTGCCAATCTCCTATCATCCTGCGTGCAGGGCCCAGTACCAAGTGTTTGGAAAATGAGTGAGACTCCAGCTGAGCCTCTGAGATCCTGCTTAATAGTTGGGAAAGGCAGACACTCTTGTTATTAGAGGTTATACATTATCCCTCACAGTGAAAGCCACATAGGGATATCTCCGCAAGGGTACAGCAGGGCTGCCCTAGTGGAAATGTGAATAATTGTAGTTAAGAAAACCTGGGCATAGATGTGATTCCTGATCCAAGTAAGTAATTAGTTTTGCAACCTTAGGCAAGTTATTTCACTTCTAAGCCAGGTTACCAGCTCTGTAGCATGGGGATTAAACAATGTATAGAAAGTCCAGAGATCAGTGTCTGGCACATGGTGTTAGATAAGTACCACTGGCCATTATTATTACTATTACTACTGTTATTATTATCACAAGTCCTAGGTATATACTCAAGACATGTGAAAAGTCTTGTACCCAAAAACTTGTTCACAAACATTTGGAGCAGCATTATTCACAATAACCAAAAGGGGAGAACAACCCAGATTTTCATCAGCTGGTAGGTAAACAACAGCGGTATATCCACCGCGTAGAATATTACTTAACCCTAAAAAGAGATGAAGTATGTGCTGCATTCCTATATTCTTCTTGTGATATGAATGATCACATGCTATGACATAGATGAACCTTGAAAATAATGTGCTAAATGAGAGAAACCAAGCCAAAAAGGCCACAGTTGTATGATCCCATTGATATTAAAATGGAAGTTAGGGAAACCCATAGACAGAAAGTAGACTAACGGTTGGCAGGGATGATGGCAATGAGGAGTGTCTTCATTGGGGTTTCTTTTAAAGATGATGAAAATTATCTGCAACTAGATCATGGTGATGGTTGTACAACCTTGTAAGTATGCTGAAAGCTACTGAATTAATCACTTTACAAAGTTGAATTTTGGTAGGGGGTGGGTAGATGGGAAAAAGGAGACAAGGGTATGGTGAAGGATAGATTTGGACTTTTAGCAGTGAACATAATGTAGTATTTATGTATGTTGATTCTCAACAATGAAAACCTAGATTTATATAATGTTATGATGCAATGTTACTTTAGTAAATAAAAATTAGCCCTAAAATAATAAAAGGAATTATATATATCAATAAAAAAGTGATATTTTATATCAAATTCCTACTAGAAAATAAGTTCATATGTAAAATGTTAATTTCTTCTTATTAATGATAAGTTTCCTTGATCTGGATCATTTTCCCCCCGTCTGTCCCTGCCCCCCCTCCTTCCATACTTCATCACAGCCCAGGCAGCCAGCCAGGTATAATTGCTTAATAAATGCTTCCGATTGTTGATAAGTTAATAGTTAGCCTTTAAGCAGAGAGTGTCAATAGGAATAGTTTACATGGTAAAATAAATTAATGTTTCCACAGTCTGGGATTAAGAAACACTAATTTCTACTGTCTATCAGTAGACCCTCTCCTCCTCCCCTCTGTAGCCCACGGCCCCCCAGCCCAACCCCGCCCCAGGCAGGCCCTACACTGATAATGTCTTGCCTGTGTATTTAGTGTCCACAGCCAGCCCATTCCATCCTTACAGCTGGGACTGAGTCTTGACCCTTCTTTACTTCAAGACCATACTTCCCTAGCAAGAAGGATCAAGGGGTATGCCCTTTAACACAGTCTTTGAGCATCTACGTTTTCAGGGTACAGATTTCTTCTTTGTCCCCAAGCCACACTCATGCTACGTTTGCCAAATTGAATAGACTGGGCAGTTTTTGAAGAAGTAATTGAGGTGCTCAGACCTGACTCAGTAGTTAGGGTAGAACTCTAGTAGATACTCAGTAGTGTATAGAACTCAGTAGTTTTCCTCCTCCACAGGCTTTGTGCAAAATAGACACTTTACACAGCTTGTCAGCACTGGCATTTACAAACTGGAAAAGGTAGACAGCCCCAGCAAGCCTTTCTTCATGTCATACTTGAAATTCTTTGTCCCCCAAGTCACAGGAACTGATGATGAGAGGAAATGCCTACCTACATGTACCCACTTACCCATAACTAGCATTGGTAAGGGCATCATACTGTGGTACTGGCTCAGCCAGGGTGCTGCTAGTGGTACCCAGGCCTCCAGGGAACTCAGCTAAGCTGCAGGAAATGCCCAGAAAGAAGAGGCATTAAAGCAGAGAGTGGGTCAGAGAACAACAAGAAGGTCCTTTACTCTTACTCAGGATATCCTGTGCTTGAGAAAGGAGCGCTTTCATTATAGTTAATAAAGAAATATCCATCTTATGTAAATGTTTGATAATGTGGGAATTTTAATGAATATGCAAATGTTAAGGTATGTTATTCTATCATATGTTTGGTATCTTTGTTAGCATGTTCAGCTGTGTGGGTGTGCGCATAACATACTGTGTATATAACACATCTACGTGGAAGGGGGCCCTCTGCATGGACAGTGTTTCTACAGATGTGTTCATGCACATGTGGGAACCCCACATCCTGACCTCTTTGTCAAAAGTGTAGCTCAACCTCCGTGTAATTTGTATTTCACCATTTGTACCCTCGTAGTTTTGTGTGGGGCCACATTTCCATGGGCATTCCTCACACTAAAAGAGGACCCAGGTCATCGCTAGGGAATGGGTGAGGTCCCACTGATCACTTATAGAGTCTCTATTTCTGCTTTTCCTGCCAGGAGCCAACCCCCTGCAGAGGAATGAAATGGGACACACACCCTTGGATTATGCCCGTGAAGGCGAGGTGATGAAGATTCTAAGGGCTTCTGAAGCCAAGGTAAGTCTAAGAAAGGAGAGGGCCTCTGGGCACTCCATGCAGCATTTAATCTTTCACTCATTAAATTATGTCAGGCTCCACACCAAAGGCCACTTCTCCTTAGGTGATTATTGTCTGTTTAAATACAAATCCAACCCCCAATTTTATTAAGAATAGAAGTTGCCCCTGACATGGCCAGGAAGAGACCTGGGCCATTGTGGCTTTTGAGGTTTATCTCTACAAGTTCAGTTTTTGAGGTGATGGGCTTCCCAGCTCCTTTTTGTAGATAGCAAAGTAGAAGAGATAGCAAAGCAGAATCTTTAGCCCAAATACTATTTCTGCTCAGTCTCATGTGTTCTTAGCAAGCAATCTAGCCCATCATCACTCCTTTTAGAACTCCCCTTCCCTACCTTCCATACACAGACTGAGCCCAGAATCTCCACCTTAGTCTGATCATCTCAACCCAAACTTTTTTTTTTTTAAAGAAAACAATGAACAGTGCTATTTTGTTTTGTTTTTGTAACCAAAATAACAGGGTTGGGCCAATTTGCCAGCAGGGAACCCCCACCCCATACAAAGTATAATATCAGCTCATGTCTTGAGGCTGACATATTTTGACTTACCCTGAAAAAGAAAATTCAACCCAAACTTTTGTACTCCCCTGCCTACCTGCTCCTCCCAGCCATAGCACTATCACTCATGAACTACTTGGCAAAGTCCAAGAGCTAAACCAAAATCTCAGAGCTGGCAGGGACCTCAGAAGTCATCAAATCTAGTGGTGGGAAATCTTACCAAAACAAGTAAGTCAGAGGAAAATAGCTCAGGGATTTGATGCGGCTTTTGGTTCCAGAGCGAATTGTCATCAAATTTGAAACTAACAAACTTGAACATACTACTATGAACTACTTCTCGTGGCAGAACGGGGACTTGAAGACCTGGTTTCCTACTCCCAGTCTGTGTTCTTTCCAGCATCATTGGCAAATTGGTTGAAACACATTAAGATGATTTGGTGTGGCAGGTCCCACCTAGTGGCAAATATTCTCTTGAGTAAGGACTCTTTGATCACTAAGACAGACAAAATGTGGGTTCTGATCCCAGCTTACCACTCACTGACTCAGTGCACTTGGACTAGCACCTCTACTCTTGAAGTTCACGTTATTTCTGTGACATGAATACTTTGGACTAAATGGTTTCTCAGATTCCAAGTAGTGTACAGTTGTCTGTGTATCACTCAGAATAAACTAGATTTTGCCAATTTATTTTTGTCTCATGCTGCATGTCCATTGTGGGTCAGGAGGGGGTGCTCTGCTCCTCAGAGGCACTCAGGGACCTGCTCACTCTTCAGTCACCCTCTCGTTGTTCATGGTTATTTGGCTTAGGAAAAAGGTTGCTCTGGAGGGTCTTGTACCTGTAGTTAAATGTTCACCCTGGAAGTAGGACACTTTACTTCCACTCACTGAACAGAACAAACCCCATGTACCTACCCAGTCACAGGGAGCCAAGAACAGTAACTCTGTGATGTACCTGAAGGCTAGAAATTGTTAGTTACCAGCTGTAGTGCTAGCAAGGAACGGAGGTAAAGGAAGAGTCCTGGAGCCTCCAGTGGCTTTTTCAGACTTCTAATGATCTTTCAACACCATCTGTAGTCAGGCAGCCAGGTACAGGGCAGGCTGGAGGTGAGGAGGCTGACAGGCCTCCCAGTCCCCAGCAAATCTTCACTCTTTCACATTTCTCTGGTAGCTGTGGCTCTGCTGCCTTTCCACCCACTGCACTCTGCTGCCTCCCATCCTCTGTGATGCTGCCCTTAGAGGCTCTGTCTCTCGGCTCAGGTGTGCCCACTTACGCATGCCCACACCATATTCCAGATATCCACCATCAGGCATGCATGTAAGCCCACAGGTGTCAATCACTGATGCTAATGATGGCAGAGTGGAACAAATCTGATAAATTCCATTTACCCTACACCAGCATTAACCATACAGTTTGTTTCCCTGGGATCCTTAATGACTCTTGTAGTAGTTTCCTCCAGAGAAAGGGAGCAATTAAGAAAGATAACTTGCACTCACAGCACATCCTAAGAGCAAGTGCTCCCTCCTTTTGTTCAGATTTCCCACCCCTAGAAGCAGCCCTGAAAATCAGGTCAGCTTCCTCAAGAGCCTTCAGGAAATTCCTGAGCATCATTCTGAGCAAATAATCTCAGACACTTGCACACCTGTCACCATCTCCCCTTTCAGGCCCAATTGCTGTCCCCTGAGAGACAAGCCTTAGACTCGGCCAAGGTTACCCATGATGTCAGGCGGTGACATATAGGACGGATGCTGGTCTGGTCATGTAAAGCAAGAGAATAGGACCATTAGCGCCAGTAGAGATGGGGGTCAGGACTGCTAAAGAACTCTTAGCAGGTTTAACTGCCTGAGAAGTGGCTTGACATTGGCATATTATGTCCCCAGTGACTCAGTGGCAGTTGCATACCTCTGTACCATTCATACCCTTCTGGACCACAGAGGGCAGTTGCAGACATGACTTCTGAACAGATGTGGAACTCTTGTAAGCTCTACAGAGTTGACAGTAAGGGATCACTGTGCCATGAGAACAAGCTGGAGGCAACAGGGCTTGGAGAGAAGAGTCGTGGAACAGCCCAGGAACAGCTGTGAGAGGGAACATTGTTCCTTAGGTTGGCTGCTGCCAAGAGGAATTCCCTGACAAGCTGTCAGACAGTGAAAGGGAACGCTTAGAGGCTAGAAGACCTAACTTAGAGTCAGTCCAGAACTTTTGTAGCCTCAGCTGTTTCTCCGTTGTCACCCCTCTGCTCTTGATTCCCATCATGTGGTCTGACTTTCTCCGCCTGAAACGGCTCAGCTGGCCAGTGAGCATCTCCGCCTGATTGCTCTGCTGTCTCTACAGAGTCTACCCACAGGAACCATTGCTCAGTTCTCCCTGAATGTCAGCAGCGTTATCTCTCTCTCAGTTGCTCAGCATCTACTTGATCATCCATTCTTTCTGCTCTTGACTTTTTTTTCCAAAAACCTGTCTCTTCAAAATTATGTGGCAGAATTTTGTGGGAGGACGCTGCTGTAGACATGGGTTGTGTCTCCCTCTGTCAGTACTCAAGCAGCAGTTGGCTCCTTTCTGAGTCAGGCTCTACATCTCTAACATAATCACTCAGGCCTAGGGGGTTCTGGGGCTTAACCCTGAGATCTCACCTAGACATAGGTCACCACCACCCAGATCTTATCTTATGCCCCCTCTATCTGCCCAGCATCCCCCTACCACCTAGTTCAGCCTTCTCTGCCTTCATCTACCTCTCTGCAGTCAGGTATGTGCTCAATGTAGAAATTTGTGATTATGAAAGTTATATTCCTCATAAAAAATTTGAGATAAAAGTAAAATGAAGAGAATTAAATAATTCAGTATACATTTATGAAAAATATCAGTGTGCCAGGCTTTAGGCTAGATATCTGGGAAGAATATGAGTATGTGAAACTCAAACAGCTCAGGTCTGATGAGGACACAGGCAAATGTACCATGACACCACTGACTCATCAGTCCCAGGGAAGTCCAGGGTCTGTGGAAAGCCAGAGGAGGCTTTTAATCCTGCCTGGGATATCAAGATGGGCTTCTCAGAAGAGAGGTCATCTGGACTGAATCTTAGTCAAAAGCCCTACCACACCCTGCTATTAATATTTTTAATCATTTATAATAATTGTAGGTACCATTTATTGAGTACATCTAGATACTATGTCAAGTGCTCTAGTGTATATTTTTTCTAATCCTGACAAATCTGTCAAGTAGCTCTTATTAATACCGATTTACAAGGGAAGCTGAAGAAGAAAGCAAGCAAGCAAGCAGGTGACTTAAAAGAAAATTGAGTTGTGAGAAGTAACTATTGGGATATGAATTGGAGATCTCTTATGATACTGTATTTGCCTTTTCTGGGCCATACCAATATATTTATGTTGATATGGACTTTATGATGACCCCTTTTTTTAAAAAAAGATTTGTTTATGCATACAGAACTGGGGTGCAAGCCAGAGGTGCAGGGGCAGTGCGAGGATTCACCAGAGACAGAGTGGGGAGCAGAACATGCAGATTAACTGAAATATACTGTGCTAAGGGGAGCAGCAGGTGGGTCAGGAGAGGTCTGTCACACCATGTGGGTCCCCTCCAGGGCTAGGGATCGAACTCATGCAGAAGTGGCTTTAGCTTCGTAGTGCTGTGCTTTAACCAGCTGTGCCATCAGGTAGGGCCCTGATGACCTTTTTTGAACCTGGTTGATAGCCTACTGTATATACTAGGGGTTTCTAACTGGCAGTCATATTTTATTTTGCCAACCCAGAGGGATTTTGTTTTGTTTTGTTTTAAATATTTATTTATTTATGCATACAAGAACTGGGGTACAGGCCAGAAATACACTGCTAAGGGAAGCAATAGGAGGACCAGGAGAGGTCTGCCTCTCCATGTGGGTCACCTCCCTGGCCAGGGGTAGAACTAGTTCCGCAGTGGCAGTGCTGCACTTGAACCCATTGCACCACCAGGGAGAGCCCCAGGATTTTTTTTTTTTAATGTCAAAAAACTTATGAGCTTGGAACATATATTCTCCCGACCCCATTATATACTGTATTATGTTCTTTACTTCTTAGACATTTATATTTCCTACTTCACCCTGAAGGTGTTTATGATCCTAATTCCATACTTGGAATCTGCTTTTCTTCACTTAATACTATTTATTAATGATTTTCCTATTTTAATATTATCCATAACCCTCATTTTTTTTTTATTTCATTCTGCCTTTTCAAATGTATTCCTTATCCAAGAATCTCTGTTCTGACTTTTATGGTTTGCTCAGTTCTCTCAGCATTCTCTGTGTGGAAGCCTCCTTGGCCCCCACTGAGAAGATCCAAGAGTAGGTTAGGCCCAGCCTCTGTCTGCTGAACTAGCCATCTTGGAAAGCAGAGGAGGGGCGCTTAGAAGAGGCAGCGCTCTTAGTTCTCACTGATTTGTACCTTCAAAAAAATTGGCAC